CCCCTAAAAATTTAATGAAACACCCCTCTAAGAAGACACGTAATTTTCTTCTCCTTAGTTCCCTAATTGCTGTTGCTGTGTGCCACCTCTCGGGGTTCCATACCCCTTCATCAAGGCAGGCCCTTAAGATCGTATTGGGCCATGCCTGCGCGATGGGGGAGTCGCGCAGGGCCAGCAGTTCCCTCCTGGAATACAGTCCTAGTTCACATCAGGAGGTCCAGCAGCAGAGTAGGGGAGGGGGGAAAGTCCTCGTGATGGTAGTCCTAGTCAGGGGCTTAGATGGATCACAAGAAAGCAGCATAGTTCATTGTTCTTCTTAACCCCCATAAAGGGGGGGGGAAATTGCAGTCAAAGTCAGCCAGGCCCCAACAATGCAGGCCTCCAGGCACGCCAGACCCCAGTCGCACAAGCCTCCAGGTCCACTCAGGCACTCACCACCAGGCCCTGGGTCCTCCATCAGGCCGTGTCCCTCAGGCAAACACATCCTTCGGGCCACGGCCCCCGCCCGGGCCGCCAGACCCGACCGCCAGGCCGCATCCTTCACCTGGGCAACCAGGCCGGACCGCCAGGCCGTCGGGCTGACTCCCTCGCGACTCCACTGGGCAACCAGGCCGGACCACCAGGCCGTCGGGCTGACTCCCTCGCGACTCCACTGGGCCCTGTCCTCCGCCCGGGCCATTATTCCGCCCGGGCCGAATAACAAAATAAAGTTTAACAAAATAAAGACAATACAAAACTGCAAATATAGAGAGATAAATATTAAACAATCAAACAATAACAGCAGCAGTACTGTCTATAATATTGTAATCTCTTCATTTGAGAGGTTTTTAAGAAGAGATTGGACAGCCATTTGTCCGAAATGGTATAGGGCTTCCTGCTTGAGCAAGGGGTTGGACTAGAAGACCTCCAAGGTCCCTTCCAACTCTTGTTATTCCGTGGACAGTCTTTAATTGGGCATGGTTTATTCTCATCTGGAAGGTGAGAGTCATTTCTGGAAACCTAGCCCTAGAAAAAGAAGCTTTGCAATGTCAGGAGATCTGAGAGGTACTGCTGAGAGCAAACCTCACTCTCTTCTAGCACTGACGATGTTACGTAGTTTGGTAATGAAACGTCTGCAAGAAAACCATCAAGCTCAGAGAGCACCATTGACTCCATAGTTCAATACTGAGCTGAAAATGGTATAGGATTTCCTGCCTGAGCAGGGGGAATGGACTAGAACAGGGCTTTTCAACCAGTGGTACGGGTACCACCTGTGGTACATTGGCACCTGGCAGGTGGTACGCGACCATCCTAGAAAAGTGGTAGCGGGGGAGGGGAATGAGCTGAACCGGTGGCAGCACCACACAAGCCTGAGCGAGAGATGGCTGGAGCTGCAGGGCTGTCAGGGCTCAGCGGAAGCGCCAGGATCACAGCACCAGGAATGTTGCAGCATCTCCAGGGTCTTGTGATTTACATTCAGATGCTTGGCAATTGATTCATATTTATGACCGTCACAGTGTCCCAGGGTCATGTCAAGTAGCCAAAACCTGCTGCAACCACCCAGCAGACGGGGGGAATAAAAACCAAACACCCCCCCACCCCATCCCCGCTGCCAATTCTCAACAGAAATGCTCACAACAATGAAAACCTCGGACAGGAGGAAGAGCGCCGCCGGGTGGGCAGGCAGGTGTCTTGCTCGGCTGTGGCTTGGGGGTGGGCACTTTTTTCAGTGCCATTGTAACTTTGAACAGTCACTAAGTGAACTGTTGTAAGTCGAGGACTACCTGTACTTTATCGCTTTTTCCCTTTTTTTTTTGGTCATCAAGTTTTTGACACCTTGCTAGGCGACGGGTGGTACTCAGATATTGCCATATCCTAAAAATGGTACAATGGGTGAAAAGGTTGAAAAGCCCTGGACTAGAAGACCTCCAAGGTCCCTTCCAACTCTATTATTGTTGTTGTTGTTGTTGTTGTTGTTGTTAAATATTCCCTTTTATCAAGATTTGATCCTGCTTAACTTTTCAAGATCGTTTAAGGGGTAGGCAACCTTGGCTCTTTTATGACTCGTGGACTTCAACTCCCAGAATTCCTGAGCCAGCCATGCTGAGGGGAAAGGGAGAAGTTTCCAAGCTGAGCCATGCCGGCTCAGGAATTCTGGGAGTTGAAGTCCACCAGTCATAAAAGAGCCAAGGTTGCCTACCCCTGCATTAAACCCTTAGAGATATCTTCCATTTAGGGCAGCAAGATTGATCAGTATGGATTCTAGATTTTTGAGAGATGAACAGTTGACTGTTTTCTGCCTGGAGAGAAAATTCTCTAACTGTTCTCTCTCCTGCTCTTTCTTTTATTTTTATTTATTTTTATTTTTTTTAAAAGCTTCTTTGGTTTTGGCTCCCAGCCACACAAATGACCCCACAAAGTTCAAAAGCTGGTGATGAAATTTATATCCAGCGATGAACTCATCGCAGGCGGTGGCTTTTGAAATCCGCAAATCTGATTTTGCAACTAATTAGGAAAGAATCGAAAAGGACGAGGCGTGTATGGCAATCCCTTTCTGACATGCAATGGCATTTAGAAATGATTTGGGGGAGACTGGGGGGGCAGGATCACTTCTAGTTTTGTCACTATATGGAGTGAATTGGATTGACTGGCTAAGGCAGGGGGTCTTCAAACTTGGCCCTTTTATGACTTGTGGACTTCAACTCCCAGAATTCCTCAGCCAGGCACGTGTGCCTGGCTGAGGAATTCTGGGAGTTGAAGTCCACAAGTCATAAAAGGGCCAAGTTTGAAGACCCCTGGGCTAAGGAGAGGAACTCTCTGTAACCTAAAATAGGGTGTGTAGCTTAAGGATCCTCCCTCCCTTTTTAAATGCAGCTGGTCCTCGACCTACGACCACAATTGAGCCCCAGATTTCTGTTGCTAAGCGAGACATTTGTTAAGTGAGTTTTGCCCCATTTTACGACCTTTCTTGCCACAGTCGTTAAGCGAACCTGCCTTCCCCACTGACTTTGCTCATTAGAAAGTCACAAAAGGGGATCACGACCCCGGGAGACTGCGGCTGTCATAAATGTGAGTCAGTTGCCAAGTGTCTGGATTTTGATCACACGACCACGGGGATTGCTGCAGTGGTCGTAAGTGTGAAAAACGGTCATAGGTCACTTTTTTTAGTGACATTATAACTTCAAACGGTCACTAAACAAACCGTTGTAAGTCGAAGACTACCTCTATTGCCAGTTCAGTCAGGACAGTGCTTCCCAAACTTTTTCCTTCATTACCCCAAACAGCTTATCAGAAAGTCCTTTTTACACAATATAGATAAAACACGTTGAGTCAATTTAACTGTCCCAGTTGTGTTTGGGTAATGGGTTTGTGTGTCATTATCCAAAGAAAAACTACTTAGGAAATGTTCCTTTAAAGCAGTGGTTCCCAACCTTTTTAATGCCGTGACCCCAACCAGTTGTAAGTCGAGGACTAAACCGGTCGTTAGTCGAGGACTAAGCCGGTCGTAAGTTGAGGACTAAGCCGGTCGTAAGTCGAGGACTACCCAACCGGTCGTAAGTCGAGGACTTTCCCTGCCCAGGAGCGCCACGCATGCGTGGTTCCGCCCCCTGCGCCGGCCGAGGCGTAGCTGGCAAGCGGCAGAGACGGAGCAGGCCGACCACCAGCTGGCCCAGCCCAAGGGAGGTAAGGCACCCGCCGGAAAAGAGGAAAAAATGGTGGACAAAAAAAAATGGCGGACAAAAAAATGGCGGACAGCCTTGCTTGGCGACCCCTGTGACATGGTCGATCGACCCCAAATGAGGTCCCGACCCACAGGTTGAGAACCACTGCTTTAAAGGAGAATTTTTGTAGCTCAGGGTTGAAATGACGGGTCCTTGGTGCTCTTTGAGTTTGGTTGTTTTCTTGTAGATGTTTCAGTACCATACTAGGTAATACCATCAGTGCCAGAAGGGAGTGGGGTTTGCTCTCAGTTTATCTTCTAGTGCAGGGGTGTCAACCTCAATTTCATTGACGGCCACATCAGCATTGCGGTTGCCCTCAGGGGGCTGGGTGGGTGTGGCCTATTGGGTGGGTGTGGATGGAGTGGGTGTGGCCTA